TACCCATCATCCACAGCCTGAGAGGTTGGGGATGATGGGGTGTGTAGTACATATCCTCCTTCCTAACTCTCTCCAACTTTCCCCTCCTCTCCTTGTCCTTTCTTCAGTCTTTATCACTTCCACCCAAATACCCATCATCCACAGCCTGAGAGGTTGGGGATGATGGGGTGTGTAGTACATATCCTCCTTCCCTAACTCTCCCCAACTTTCCCCTCCTCTCCTGGTCCTTTCTTCAGTCTTTATCACTTCCACCCTCAGTTTTGGTCTGAAACTCCCACCATCCATAGCCTGTGAAGTTGGGGATGATAGGGTGTGGAGTCCACATTCATCTCCCACTATCTCCTTGTTCTTTCTCCATTCTCCATCAAGTGAAGCCAAGGCTGGCTTTGCAAGACCTGACCCACTGCCAGAACACCGACCTTGGAAGAACATCATCCTCAGACTAAAAGGGATTGCCTAAGTAAATAAGCAAGGCCAGGAAGACTTAGAGGTCTTCCATTCATAGGTTAGGGTTACCTTGACAGCACTTAAGGAGAAGAATGTAGAAAGGAAGAAGAAAAGAGGAAGGCTGAGTTCCAAGCAGGTAGACTCCATTCAAGGAAGAACTGAGTTTGCAAGACCTGAGCAGCATTGTTGACTTCAAGTTCTCTCCTTCATGGGATCATCACACATTGAAGTCTACTTGATGGCGTTTGAGATCAACCAGAAGGGAGAAAGCCTTCAGAAAAGAGGAAGGCCTTATTCCGGATGGAGCGACTTCATCCAAAGACTGAAGCAGAGCTACTGTGGATAGTGGGATCTTGAAGGTCTGTCATTTATAGGATCATCATAGGTTGAGGTTGACCAGGGAGAAGTCAAAGACAGCAAGAAGGTAGAAGGAGCAAGAAGGTAGAAGAAGCTATTGAGGACAGAGGGACTTGAAGGTCTCTCATTTATAGCGTCACAGTAGGTTGAGGTGTTCTGGAGAGAAGTTAAGAACAGCAAGAAAGTAGAAGGAGAACTATTGAGGACAGAGGGACTTGAAGGTCTGTCATTTATAGGGCCACAGTAGGTTGAAGTTGTCTGGAGAGAAGTTAAGGACAGCAAGAAAGTTGAAGGAGAGTTATTGAGGACAGAGGGACTTGGAGGTCTGTCATTCATAGGGTCACAGTAGGTTGAAGTTGTCTGGAGAGAAGTTAAGGACAGCAAGAAAGTAGAAGGATAGTATTAAGGACAGAGGGACTTGAAAGTCTGTCATTCATAGGGTCACAGTTGGTTGAGGTGGTCTGGAGAGAAGTTAAAGACAGCAAGAAAGTTGAAGGAGAGCTATTGAGGACAGAGGGACTTGAAAGTCTATCATTCATAGAGTCACAGTAGGTTGAGGTGGTCTGGAGAGAAGTTAAGGACAGCAATAAAGAGGAAAGTGGTCAGAAAAGAAGAAGGCCTTATTCCAGATGGAGAGACTCCAACAAGGAAGCCATGGAAGACTTTGCAAGACCAAAACAGAGCTGTTGAGGATAGAAGGACTTGAAGGTCTGTCATTCATAGGATTACCATAGGTTGAGGTTGACTGGAGAAGTTAAGGACAGCAAGAAAGTAGAAGGAGAGCTGTTGAGGGTAGAGGGACTTGAAGGTCCGTCATTCATAGGGCCACAGTAGGTTGAGGCTAACTGGAGAGAAATTAAGGACAGCAAGAAGGTAGAAGGAGAGCTGTTGAGGGTAGAAGGATGGAAGAACTTTCATTTACAGGGTTACCATAGATTGAGGTTGACTGGAGGGATGGTAAGGACAGCAAGAAGATAAAAAGAGAGCTGTTGAGGGTAGAAGGACCTAAGGACTTTCATTGATAGGGTCACCATAGATTGAGGTTGACTTGAGGGAAGTTAAGGACAGCAAGAAGATAAAAAGAGAGCTGTTGAGGGTAGAGGGATTGAAGGACTTTCATTTATAGGGTCACCATAGATTGAGGTTGATTAGAGGGAAGTTAAGGAAAGCAAGAGGTAGAAGGACCACTGTTGAGGATAGAGAGACTTGAAGGTCTGCCATTCATAGGATCACCATAGGTTGAGGTTGACTGGAGAAGTTAAGGGCAGCAAGAAGATAGAAGGAGAGCTGTTGAGGATAGAGGGACTTCAAGATCTGTAATTTATAGGGTCATCATAGGTTGAGGTTGACTGGAGAGAAGTTAAAGACAGCAATAAGGTAGAAGGAAGTCAGAAAAGAAGAAGGTCTTGTTCCAGATGGAGTCTCCATCATCACTGGGAGACAGGGCTGACTTGAGTTTGTAAGACATGAGAATGGGGTAACTTGAAGGTCTCGCCTTCATAGGACCACCAGAGGTTGAAGTCTACCTGGTGGAGATTAAGATCAACAAAGTATAGAAGGTCATAGGAAAAAAGGAAAGCCCTCTTTCAGAGGGAAAGACTCCATCAAGGAAGCCATGGTGAACTTTGCAGGACCTGAGCAGATCTATTGAGGTTAGGTGTGACTTGAAGGTCTCTCCTTCATGGGATCACTGTAAATGGAATTCTCCTGCACTGACTTTATTCTCTTATCAGTAAAATATTATTATTATTATTATTATTATTGTATTTTTTCGAGGGTTTTTTGAGGAGGAGCCTTTGCTATAAGAAGAAAAAGGTCTACAATCTCCAAAAACCCCTTTATTGTCCTGCACAAAGCAAACCGGGCCAAATCCAAACTCCAAATGAAACCGGTTTCAATCTGGATTGTCCCACCGACCCTCTTTTTGTCTTAACTGCAAGCCCCATAATCCCCCGCTGCATCTGCGTCTGACCTGATGCGTCCAAGCCTAGGGGAAGTTCCTTGGAGAGACTACACATCCCATCATCCCCAGACAGCACCTGTGAGCTAAGAACATGCCTGTAGGCTAAGGAGTGCAGTCCCCTTGTTTTGGAACGACAGCTCCCAGAATCCCCTAGCCATTTTGGAGCTGTAGTCCAACAAAAAGGGGTGTGGAGTCTACTGTCAAACCTCTTTATATCTATCTATCTATCTATCTATATCTATCTATCTATCTCTATCTATCTATCTATCTATCTATCTATCTATCTATCTATCTATCTATCTATCTATATCAAATGATACAAAGAGTTTAGGGTAAGCCCCCTTTTTTGGATATAAACCCCCTGTTTTTTGCAACAGCAGATCCCAGAATCCCCCGCCAGTTGGGAGCTGTAGTCCAAACTACATATATATCGCAATTTAGAAGCGATTCTATACCGGGCGAGAAGCGTCCTATCCTGAAGAATAAAACGAAGAGATTCTCTAGATAGATAGATAGATAGATAGATAGATAGATAGATAGATAGATAGATAGATAGATAGATAGATAGATAGATAGATAGATAGATAGTAGATAGATAGATAGATAGATTATATCCTAAATTGCTTCCATTTGGAAATGAAATGTAAATAATTCACATTCAAATGGAGGGAAGAGAATTGAGAAAAGAAAAGACGGGAGGGAGGGAGAGGAAGAAGGAAGGAAGGGGTGGAAAAAGGAGGGCGGAAAGCAGGATGGGAAAGAAAGAGGGAGGAAGAAAAAAAGAAGGAAAAAAGAAGGAAGCGAGAGGAAAGAAAAAGGGAGTAAGGAATAGGAATTAGGGAAAGAAGGAAGACAGGTGAAAGAAAAGAAAGGAAAGAAGGCAGAAACGGGGGAGGAGAAGAAGGAAGGGACGGTTAGGAAGGAAGAGAGAGGGAAGGGAGAAAGGAAGGAAGGAAGGAAGAAGGGGGGGAAAGAAAAAAAGGAGAAAGGAAGAGAGGAAGGAAAAGAAAAGAAGGGAAGAAAAGGAAGGAAGGGAGGGAGGAAGGAAGGAAGGAAGAAAGAAGGAAGGAGAAGGAAGGAAGGAAGGAAGGAAGGAAGGAAGGAAGGGAAGAGAAGGAGAGAAGGGGGAAGGACAAAGAAAGGGAGGAAGAAAAAAAAGAAAGAGGAAGGAAGAAAAGAAGGGAGGAGGAATAGGATGGAAGAAAGGAAGAAAAATAAAGAGAAGGGAAATAAAAGAAAAGAAGGTGGAAGTGGAGGAAGGAATGAATGAAGGAAGGAAGGAAGGAAGGAAGGAAGGAAGGAAAAAGAAAGACGGGAAATAAAAGAAAAGAAGGTTGAAGGAAGTGGAGGGAGGAAGGAAGGAAAGAAGGGAGGGAGGGAGGGAAGGAGGAAAAAGAAAGAGGCGGGAAATAAAAGAAAAGAAGGGAAGGAAGGAAAGGGAGGAAGAGAAGGAAGGAAAGAAGGAAAGGGGGAGGGAAGGAAAAAAGAAGGAAGGAAAAAGAAAAGAAGGAAGGAAGGAGAAAGAGGAAGGAAAGAAGGGAAGAAGGAAGGAAGGAAGGAAGGGAGGAGGAAAAGAAGAGAAGGGAAATAAAAGAAAAGAAGGCGGAAGGAAGTGAAGGAAAGAAGGAAGGAGAAGAAGGAAGAAAGGGAGGAGGAAAAAGAAAGAGACGGGAAATAAAAGAAAAGAAGGTGGAAGAAAGAGGAGGAAGGAAGGAAGGGAAGGGAGGGAGGGAGGAAGAAAAAGAAAGAGACGGGAAATAAAAGAAAAAAAGGTGGAAGGAAGTGGAGAGAGGGAAGGAGGGAGGGAGGGAGGGAGGAAGGAAGGAAGGAAAAAGAAAGAGACGGGAAATAAAAGAAGGTAGAAGGAAGGGGAGAAAGGAAGGAAGGAAGTCCCGGCATGGTATAGGGCGGAGAGAGGCCAGGGAACCCCTTTCTCTTGAGGAAGCCCTCGTTTCCCCGCGGGGCGTGTTCCTGCGTGTTTCTGTCACGCGTGACCCCGAGCCCCCTTGCAAGACAGGCACCCCCCCCCCCTTGTTTCCCATAAGTGAACATTGGGATGACATACCTTGCTCCCAAACACATCCCCCCAAACCCACCCACAGACACTCCCTTCCCCGCCGGGAGTGAAACGCGAGGGTTTCCTTCCACACCTCCCCAAGCCCCAGGGGTTCCTTCCTCCTCCTCCTCCAGATCTCCTTTCCCTTCTTTCTTTCTTTTTTGCAACACCCTCCCCTTCTTCTCCTTCTCTCCCTCCCTCCTTCTCACTCCACTTCGCTTCCCTTTGGCCCAACACGTCCTTAATCCGTATTAAAGCCCCATCCTGAGGCCAAGAGCTCAGTGCTTGCTCGCCTTTCGGGAGTGGCGCATCTGGGCGACCCTTTGCCCCCCTTGGGCCACCAAAACAGAGAGAGAGAGAGAAAGCCACCCTTCTTCCGCCTTTGCCTCTTGACTGCTGAGAAGAAGTCGGATTTCCACCCACAACCTTGACTCTTTCCCTCCACGAGATGCATTTGTGAACCTTTCCCTCCCTCGCCTCCAAGGGAGGAGGAGAGATCGAGAAAGGGATCCACTCGGAGATCTACCTATCCCGGGAAAGGAGTCAGCCGGACCAGGGAGAGCTACCTGCGTGGGCTTCAGAGGGGTCTCATCATCACTATTATTATTATTACTATTATTTCCTATTTATTTCCATTTTGGTGGGAGAATAGGATCTCTGCCTTTCCTTTTTTGCCTGGAAGAAGAAGAAGAGCAAAAGCTTGGACGGCTTTGGGGATCGATCTTTTCCTCGAGATCCCTTCGTCGCAGTTGAAAAGTTTGGGACCCCCGCGTGGGGAGGGCGAAATGGCCCTTTTGGGATCTTGCCTCTTCCTCTTCGGGATGTCGCCCGTCCTCTCCAGCTATCCCATCTGGTGGTGAGTCCCATTTCTGAGGTCCACTCATATCCTATTTTGTGCATTTCAGATTATTTATGTTTTCCACGGGGGAATGGTTCACGCGTGGGTAGCTGCCAGGATTTTACTTCGGGTTGCACTCCGGGTGGGATGTCGCGACTTTCTATATTTTCCATATAGCCCGAAAAACCTACAACTCAATTTCTATATTTGTTTTCCCACGGAGGAATGGTTCACGCGTGGGTGGCTGCCAGAATTTTACTTCGCATTTCACTCCGGGTTTTTTTTTAACGTCGGATGAGGTGACTTTCTATATTTTCCTTATAGCCCAAAAAGCCTACAACAACCCACTTTCTATATTTGTTTTCCACGGAGGAATGGTTCACGCGTGGGTGGTTGTTACGATTTTACTTCGGGTTGCACTCCGGGTTTTTTTTTTAACATGGGATGTCGCTACTTTCTATATTTTCTATATAGCCCGAAAAACCTACAACAACCCACTTTCTATATTTGTTTTCCACGGAGGAATGGTTCACGCGTGGGTGGTTGTTACGATTTTACTTCGGGTTGCACTCCGGGTTTTTTTTTTAACATGGGATGTCGCTACTTTCTATATTTTCTATATAGCCCGAAAAACCTACAACCCACTTTCTATATTTGTCTTCCACGGAGGAATGGTTCACGCGTGGGAGGCTGCCAGGATTTCACTCCGGTTTTTTTTTTTACGTGGGATGTCTATATTTTCTATCTAGCCCGAAAAACCTACAACAACCCACTTTCTATATTGCTTTTTGACTTTTTCGGGTGTGGAGTTTGGTTTTGTTTTTGCCCCCAAGCCATGTGAAGACCCCTCCTCTGTTTATTTATCTAAGCGCCGGGTTAGGTAAAGCTATTGCTCTCCTACTGTACAAAGCAAGAAAATTGTGGGATAGATAGATAGATAGATAGATAGATAGATAGATAGATAGATAGATAGATAGATAGATAGATAGATAGATAGATAGATAGATAGATAGATAGATAGATAGATAGATAGATAGATAGATAGATAGATAGATAGAGATAGATGCACATATACATATACATATACATACACAACATAGGCACACTTCCCCAACTTTACAGTAGGAGAAATGTGTGTGTATAGGAGGAAGAGTATGTATGTGTTTGACTTCCTTCTGCTGTGAAGTTGGACATGAATATAATGCTATACACACACACACATTTCCAACTTTACTATAGGATAAAGTAGGATATATATGTTGTGTTTTCTCCAACTGTTAAGCTGGAAAATTATATATACACACTTGGGAAACTTTTCAGTAGGAGAAAGTAGGATAGATATATGTATTATCCTACATTCTCCTTACTATAAAGTTGGAAAAGTATATACACACACTTTCCCAGCTTTACCGGAGAGGATAGCTTTGTGATCCATCCATCTATCTATCCTTCTATCCATCCATCTATATGTATCTGTACCTATTCAGCTATCTATCTATCTATCTATCTATCTATCTATCTATCTATCTATCTATCTATCATCATCTATCTTTCTATCTATCTATCATCTATCTATCTATCTATCTATCTATCTATCTATCTATCTATCTATCCTTCTCTCTATCTATCTATCTATCTATCTATCTATCAATCATTCTATCTTTCTATTTATCTCTTTCCTTCTATTTTTTTCTATTTCTTTCTATCTATCCTTTCCTTTCTTTTTCCTTTCTTTCTTTCTTCTATACTTCTATCTATCCTTTTATCCATCTATCTATCTGTCTATTTTTCTATGTATCTTTGTATCCTTCTATCTATCATTCTATTTCTCTCTATCCTTCTCTATCTTTCCATTTATCTATCTTTCTTTCTATCCTTCTATCTATTTATCTCTTTCCTTTTGTCTATCTATTTCTTTCTATCTATCCTTTTATCTTTCTTTCTTCTATCCTTATATCAACCCTTCTATCTATCTATCTATCTATCTGTCTGTCTGTCTGTCTTTTTTTCTACTCTTCTATCTATTTTTCTATTTCTTTCTATTCTATCTATTTTTCTATCTTTCTATCTTTCTATCTTTATCTATCTATCTATCTATCTATCTATCTATCTATCAATCCTTCTATCTGTCTGTCTGTCTATATTTCTATCTTTCTTTCTATTCTTCTAGCTATTTTTCTATTTCTTTCTATCCTTCTATCTATTTTTCTATCCTTCTATCTTTCTATCCTCTTTATTTATTTATTTATTTATTTATTTATCTATCATCTATCCTTCTATCTGTCTGTCTATATTTCTATCTATCTTTCTTTCTATTCTTCTAGCTATTTTTCTATTTCTTTCTATCCTTCAATCTATTTTTCTATCCTTCTATCTTTCTATCCTTCTCTTTATTTATTTATTTATTTATTTATTTATTTATTTATTTATTTATTTATTTATTTATTTATTTATCTTTCCATCTATCTATCTATTTATCTGTCTTTCTATCCATCCATCTATCTATCCTTCTATCTATCTATCTATCTATCTATCTATCTATCCTTCTATCTATCTATCCTTCTATCTATACTTCTATCTATCTATCTATCTATCTATCTATCTATCTCTCTCTCTTCCTACTTTCCCCTACTGTAAAGTTGGAAAATTATTTACACACACACACACACACATTTCCAACTTTTCTATCCTTCTATCTATCTTTCTTTCTATCTATCTATCTATCTATCTATCATCTATCTATCTATCTATCTATCTATCTATCTATCTATCTATCTATCTATCTATCCTTCTATCTATCTATCTATCTATCTATCTATCTATCTATCTATCTATCTA